AAATATTGCTGAAAGACTGCAGGACACATGCATTTTTCAAGAACACACAAATATTAAAAACAAAACCACCCCAAAAATTTGGCCAAATATCCATAAAACAATTCTTAACAAATTTTAAAGTGTAACAATATAAAATAAATTCTTTGGCTGCAATGCAAAGAAAGCACTAACAAGAAAATAACTAGGAAATCCCCCTGTATTTTGAAATTGAGAAAAATATTTTAAAATAATCACTGTGTCAGATTAGAAATCACAGTGGAAATTCAAAAATATTTTGAGATTAATAATAATGAAAATATATATACAATCTTTTATGTGATACATCAAAACCGTTTTTGAAAGAGAAATACACAGCCTTCAGTTAATACATTAGAAAAAAAAGTTAAAGAAAGGAAATAATAAAAAGCAGACATTTATGAGATAGGAAACATCAATAAAGCCAAACTTTATTTAAAAAGATTACTAAGTAATAACCTCTGGCTGTTCTTATAAAGAAAAAAAAAAAAGAGAGAAGATAGAAATAACCAATATCAATAATGAAAAAAAATGGATAACATTTTATTTTTTTATTTTTTAAGGTTTATTTATCTATTCTTGAGAGAGAGAGAGAAGAGGGGTGCAGAGAGAAGGAAAGAGAGAATCCCAAGCAGGTTCTGCACTGACAGCACAGAGCACGACGTGGTGCTCTAACTCACGAACTGTGAGATCATGACCTGAGCCCCAAAGGCAAGACACTTAACTGACTCAGCCATCCGGGTGCCCCGTTATGAATAATTTAACTCCAATGACTTTTTAAAATTTAGGTTCATAGGCCAATTCTTAGAAAAATACAACCTACTAAAATGGACACAAAAAAAACAGAAATTCCAGGTAGACACAAACTATTAAATAAATTATTAATTAAAAACCTTACCACAAAGAAGACTTCAGGCCCTGATGACTTCACCAATAAATTCTACCAAATGCTCAAGGGAGAAATAATACCATCTTCCACAAATTCTTCCAGAGAATACTGAAAGAGAGAACATTTCCTAATTTGTTTTTTGAGGCAGCACAATCTTGATATGAAAACCTGACAAGCACATTGTAAGAAAAGAGATTACAGGTCACTTATTCATGAACACAGGAATAAAATTCCTAAACAAAGTATTAGTAAACAAAATCCAATATTATATAAAAAGTATAATACATCACAAACACATATCATCATTTCAGGAATTCAAGGTTGGCTTGACATCTGGAAATCAATCATTATAATTCCTTACATTAATAGAATAAAAGATATAGTCATCTCCATAGCTGTATAAAAAATTGCTTAATAAAATGTAACATTCATTCATTGTTTAAAAAAACCTCTTAACAAATGGGAATAGAAGGAAACTTCCTTAATCAGATAAAGCTTATCAAAAGGAAGGAGGAGACTGTGGCACTCAGCTCTGGCCTCAAGTATATTTTTCTTGATCTAACTCAGACCTGGTAAACCTTCTCCTTGCTCAATGTAACAAGTAAGTGAGCTACATACACAGGTCATCGAGATGTGTCGGTCTTCTACATGGGAAGCCAGGTAATAATGAGAATGTTGTGAGAATCAGAGGACAATGAATGAGATGATGTTCATAGCCAATATCCATTAACTATGAGAAGATGATGTATACATTTGTGCATAGATGAGAACACTTGTGTTCCTGAATAAGAAATATATTTCTGAACTCTATGCGGATCATTTATCTTCTATTAAGGGAAATTATTTTTTTAGACTGAGTGTAATGTGAATACTTGGGCTTTGGCTTTACACATGCTAATATAGTCATTCTCTGATTCCTGTTGGCTCTGTCATTCTTCTATTCCTTTGCTTCTCTCCAAAAATCCAGACATCCCAAAATACTTTGGGTTTTTCAGTGAGCCAGGCTGATTTATTCATATGTACATTTTGCATATTCTGTGACATTTTCCTGGAATAACCTCTCCATCCTCACACCACCTCCACTCCTCATCCATTTGGCAAACTCCTATTTATTCTTCAAAATCCAACTCAAGTATCTTTCCTTTGTAAAGTCTTCTCTTCTTTATATTGTCATTGTATCTTGCATGTCTTCTAGAATAATACTAATCACACTGTGTTAACATGTTTAGTTCTGTCTCCCTATTAGATTTTTAATTTCTTGAGAGAAGATTCTGTGTCTTTATATTTGTATTCCTAGTATTTAAACCCAACGAAAGTTTGTTAAGTGAGAAATGAATGAATGAATGAATGAATGAATGAATGAGCGAACTCACCTCAGTAGGGCTCTGTCTTCTTAGGATCACCATTTGGGTATTCTGCTAAGCACCCGTGAACTCATCCTCGCTAGTAATGAAAATTTCTCCAGTTGAGTACATTAAATTTACAATCAATAATTAAACCTAAATTGAATTTATAATTGGTTTTATAATACTACTATAGTCATGGGGTCTCAAAATGCTGACTTCTCAGATGCATTCATAACCTTAATTTTTAATTTCATCCTGCTTCTCTTAAAGCTAAAGGGAGAAGGGGTAGAAGGAATTGAAAATTCTGAGGAATAACTTTAATTAGGTATGTAAATAGCCTGAAAAAAAAACATTTTAAAATAAGATTCAATCCAAAGCCAAGATACAGTGTTAATTCCTAATTAAGTTCAGTGGTTTTATACCAAAGCAAATAAGTGAGAGAAGAGTTGCCAAGGAAATGGAGAAAGTAGTTCTTCCCACTGCTTTCCAGCCCTTTGCACTCATGGCATATATAGGGAGTGAAATTACTTACAGTGCACTGGGATGAATGGATGAATGGATGAATCTTCTTGCTGTTGAAGACCAGCAGGGCAGGGGTTCTGCCTAGCTGTGATGAGAGTTAGGGAAATCGGGATCTCAGCGGTCCATACACCCTTTGCTGCAGACTGTTGGGGAAACTCTGAGGTTTAAGAAAGGGGGGTAGAATGTAACTGCAAGAATTTATGGTCTTGGCCCTCAGCCTCACCTAACAAATTAGGAAGTGTTCGAAGTAAGTGAGAAAGGCATGTACTATTTAAATTTCATAGTTAGGATTGTGTAGGCTGGTGATTTTTAACTCTGCTTTAGACTGGTGTCACTTGGAAGCTTTTAAAACCTAAAAACACAGAAAAACTGAGACCCTACCCTAGTAAAGTCAAATCAGAGTCTCTGCCGGGAGGGGTATAGGATGGCATCAGTATTTTTAAAAAAACTTCCTACAGGTGACTCTCAAATATATCCAGAGTTAAGAACCACTGGCATAAGCAGTGACTGATGATTAAAAATTATTAGTAAGGGACCTAAATTCTAACTGTGTATGTTTTCAAAAAGTGACTCAGTTTAATACTTGTACTTAGTGGCTTTTTGTATACAAAGGTTTTTGGTTTTGTTTTTATTGTTGTAGAAAGGCATATGTCAGTCAGTAGTTTGTGTTTATCTCAAATTATAGCCATATTCCTAGAAGGATATAACCCTTGGAGTTTTAATCTTGAACTTAATGTTTATGAAGTATTGGCAAACAGGATCGCTGAATTGATCAGGAATAGTAACACTGGAGGTTTTTAAAATAAGCCTTGAAGAGGAGATAGAATTTAGGTGTGCAGAAAAGGTAGAGTGAAAATTTAAGTGGAGGAACAACATGAGCACCAGAAAGGAAAAGGTATAAGAAAATTTCAGAGAAAAGTACTGCAGACTCTGAGATGGCAATTGAAGGGGCAGCCAAAGCCAGTTGTGTCTTGAGACACATGAGAGCAGTCCAAAGAGATCACCTTTTCAAACACCTGTAGCAGTTGAAAATGACCTTGCCAAGGCTCCCTAGGTCTCTACTCCAATGATTGTGAAGAAGCCTTAATTACAGATAGTGTTTAGTGAGCACTAACTATATGCCAGGCACTTTTCCTGAGCATTTCGTGTATATTAACTAATTTAATCCTCACAGCAGCCCCGAGAGGTAGGTTCTATTATGATCCCTGGCTCACAGATGAGGAAAGTGCCGCCCACAGGCTGTTTTTTTAGTATATCTCTATATTTTCCCTGTATGGCTCATACTCAGAGTCCACACAATATATTAACTGGACAGGAAATTATATAGTTAAAACAGAAATGTACCAGGTATGAATAAGGTAACAGTTGGTACTTGGAAATAATGTCAGCTAGGGATCAAAGAGTTAAGTATTTTGAATTTTTTTTCTACAGGTAGAAAAAAATTTACTGAGGAATGAGGAATTCACTGATATTTTTAAAGTTTATGTATTTATTTTTAGAGAGAGAGAGTTGAGAGACAGAGAGAGAGGGCACAAGAGAGCAAGCACAGGCAGAGAGAGGGAGAGAGAGAGAGAATCCAAGCAGGCTCCGCATGATCATTGCAGAGCCCAACGTGGGGCTTGAATCCACAAACTGAAATCAAGAGTTGGACACTTAATTGACTGAGCCACCCAGGTTCCCCTCTACTGATATCTTTTGAGCAAGCAGTGTGATGATGAAAATTTTTAGTGAAGTTGGTGTGGAAAGAGGAGTAGGGTAGGGTGAGGATGGGGAGGGTAAGAGGTAAACATTATACCAGCTGACCAGTTAGGAAGCTAATGAAATAATCTAGGGATGACATGATAAAGGTCAGGGTGGTCGTAGTAGTAACAGAAAGGACACAGATGCAAGTGCCATTTTGAAGGTCCTTGCGCCCAAAGAGTGAGCCTGAGTGACTGGGTAAGCCCAGGAGGTCAGGGGGGCAATCCTGATAAGGGTAGGTGGTGCACTGAATCATTCCAGCCTGAAATGTGTTATTATATTTCATATTCTGACTTAGAGTTTTAAATTTTATTTTGTACACCTCCTTATTTTTGATATAGATGGCAATACTTATCTGTATACTTTAATTTCACATTAGCCCATCCACCTAGTAAGAATAGGATATTTACTTATTTCTATATGTAATTAATATTATTATTTATTATTAATATACATGTGATTATTAATAGTATTATTACTTACTTTAGATTATCAGACCAGGATGAAGAGGGCAAGACCAAGCAGAAGTGTATCATAAATGACCCCTCCTTTTCCATGGTGACAGTTCAACGGGAAGATAGTGGAATAACCTGGGAGACCAATTCAAGCAGGTCTTCTACTCCTTGGGCCTCGGAAGAAAGTCAGACTTCTGGTGTGTGTAGTCTGGAAGGGTCAACTATGAATTCTTCTCCAGGAAATGTTTCCTTTATTGTGGATGAAGTTAAAAAGGTTCGGAAAAGAACACCTAGGTCAAAGCGTGGCTCACCATCATTGCGTCGGAAAGGCAACAAAAAGAGAAATTCTTTTGAATCTCAGGATGTTCCAGCAAATACAAAAGATAATCTTTTAATTTCAGAAAGCCAGGTACTAAACAATCAGAAAGAGAAGTCATCTAGTGGCGTTCATGATAAAATAAGAAAAAAGAAGACCACCTCAAACACACCTCCTATTACTGGGGCAATATACAAAGAACACAAGCCCTTAGTGTTAAGGCCAGTTTACATAGGAACAGTACAATATAAAATTAAGATGTTTAATTCTGTTAAAGAAGAATTAATTCCTCTACAATTTTATGGAACATTGCCAAAGGGTTATGTAATTAAAGAAATACATTATAGGAGGGGGAAAGATGCATCCATTAGTCTAGAGCCAGATTTGAGCAATCGTGATTCTAACTTAGTTTCCAAAACAGGCAAATTAGTAGCCCCAAGCATAGAAGATGATAAAGTAACAGGGCTTGCTTCACCCTGGAGAGGTGTACTCTCCAAAAGATCAGAGTCCTCGACCTCCTCATTCAGTCATGAAGATGAAAAGAAAATTTACGTTGATTCTCCCCTAAAGGCCACATCTGCCACCAAGCACACAGTTTCCTCTTATGCAAGTAATGACACAGCAGAACAAGAAACACAGCTCAGCCCTCCACAGTTAGTGCCACAACAACCAGGCGATGAAACAAAACTCCGTGAAATGGAGTCTTCCCCTCTTACACCTGATACATCTACAACTGGGTTCCTGGGAAGAGCAAAGGAAGAATTTGAGCCTGAATCACAAGAAATTGTGACATCAGAGCGTGACTCTTCAGTCTCACCACCTTCAGTGGGTGAGGTAAAGAAGGAAGATGTGTATTCTGCTGACCATTCCATTTCATTGGAGGCAGAAAAAGTTTCGCGGATAACAGGTTTACCAGGTCTGGCAGCATCCATCCAGGAGGATTTTGGCCCAGAGACAGAAGGGGTGGACCTGACTTCAACAGAAAGGGCAGAACCAGTCTCTGAAAAATGGAGCCCTCCTCATCTTGATGTCAAAGGAGTGGAGGAAGAAAATGTGCCTGAGCCATCCATTTCTCTTTCTGAACCTCCAGTATTAGAGGAATCAAAGAAAGAAATAGAAACTTCTCTACCAATAGCTACTACCCCTGAGTCTGAAGATTCTAATTTAGTGGAAGAAGAGATCATAGAACTTGAATACCCAGAAAGTCCATCTATTTCTGAGAAGCCCTTCCCATCATATTTGGCCCCTGAAGTGGAGCGGAAAGAAGAGGAGATCACTTTACCATCACTGAAAACATCAACACCTGAATATGTTGCTTCATCTGAGGAAGAAAGAGAGGAAAATGAGTCTGTTTCTACTGATTCTGCTTTTGTATCAGAATATTCAGTCCCACAGGATTTGAACCATGAACCAGAGAAGCAAGAAGTTGAGCCAGTTCCTCCATCCACTGTGAAAGGTATATCTGAACATGCAGTTTTTTCAGAAGAGGAGAATGAGGAATTTGAGCCTTTGGCCTCTGTGTCTGAACGCTCTCTCTCACCATCCACAACTGAGAAGACTTCTGAATGCCAGTCCCCACTGTTTTCAGCAGCTATCTCAGAACATGTGGTCCTGTCTGGAGAAGAGGCTTCAGAAAGTGGATATTACACACCAGATTCCACATCTGCTTCTGAATATTCAACTCCATCACAGGCAACAAAAGAGTCACTGAAGAAAACAATTGACCATAAGCCCCCATTAGAACCAACAGGTGTTTCTGAGCATGTGATTCTATCAGAAGAGAAGGAAGATACAGGACCATATTCCCCAGATGTGGCCTCTGAATATGAATACTCTCTCCCACCATCCACAACTGAGCAGACTTCTGAATGCCAGTCCCCACTGTTTTCAACTGCTACACTGGAACAGGCGGTCCTGTCAGAAGAGGACCTAGGAAGTGAGTGTTTCACACTGGATTCAACATTGAGTTCCCGATATGCAGTTCCATCAAATGCAATGCAGGAATCCCCAAAGAAAATAATTGATGTTGTGTCCCCATTAAAATCAAGACATGTTTCTGAGCACATGATTTTGTCAGAAGAAAAGGAAGACACTGGGCCATATTCCCCAGATGTGGCCTCTGTATCTGAACACTCTCTTCCACCATCCATAACCGAGCAAACTTCTGAATGCCAGTCCCCAC